CGGCCTCTCTAACCAAGGATTCAGGCGGGGTAATCCTGGGCAGGCAGGGGTGCGGGGAGGGCACACTCTCCAGGTTGGTGGGCGTGACGGTCACCTCAAGAAAATATACTTTAAGGATCTTGCTTCCCTAAGGAAGCAGCTCTTTTTTTGTTTTGTTGTTTTATTTAGAAAGGCTAATCATATTCATTTGTCAATATTTTCAGCTTTAAGGAAAATAGTTTAAAAAACATAAAAATGTCATTACACTCGAGTCACTGCTAGGAAACAGTCTGAGCAGGCAGAGAATGCAGACTCTCCTCCGACAGGAACCGGTCCTCTGATAGCAGCATCGTTTATGTAGAAAAGAGCTGGCTGGAAAACCCAGGGTTTATGCACAAATCGGGGTCCGTTCCTCTCCCGGCCGCCTCTTCACAGTGCGCGGCCGCGCTCAGTCCAGCACCATGGCCGACAGCGCGTTCAGGTCCTTCATGTAGGGGTGGGCCGCCAGGATCTGGTCGATCTTCAGCCGCTGCTCCGAGTCGGGGAGTGGGGCGTGCAGGAGGCAGCCGATCCATGATCCATGCTTCTCTCTCATCACTGATGTGCCTATCCCTCTCCTTCCCTCCCTTCCTCTCTGAATTCAATAAAAAAAGTGTGTGTGTGTTTTTTAAAAAGAGCCACTCCACTTGCAGATCGGCTCTTGGAGGACTGACCCCGCCCCTCGGTCTGGCTGGCACCGCCTGGGCGCGTCCAGCTGGCCTGAGGACGGAGGGCGAGACTCTGATGCTGTATGGGGGTACCCTGGCTGACAGGCCTCAGAAAAGGGACCCCGTGAGCGGATGAGCAGCCCTCACCGACCCATGTGCGCCCCGCTCTCCCCGACGTCTGGGTGCGGCACTGGCACCCACAACTGTGTGCACAGAGGTGAGTGTTTAACTTCCTTATCAACCGGCCGAGCCTGCTGCGGGTGGCGCCGGTTGTGGGAGGAGCCAGAGAACATTCCTCCGACAGCTGGTCCGGCAGCTGGACCGCGGACCGTGAGGCCAGTGAGGCCTGCACACGGGCCTCGGGTTCAGGTAGGGGCGCCGGGAAGGAAGTGAGAGGTGCGAGAGGTGTGGTGTGGAGCAGGGTGGGTGCTCAGCCCGCGCTCGTGTCCCGAACACCAAGGGCTCGAAAGAGAGGATGCCCAAGACCAGGGAGGGGACCCCGCTGCGCGAGTCACCCCCACAGCCACGCCGGGAACCCCCAGGGTCTCCTTGCTAATGGAAACGAACCCCTGACTGCCTACCTGCTGGAAACACACACAAGTGCAGCCTGTTTTAGTTTTAAAGAGAAAAGGTCCGTTGCTGGGTCAGTGGTTCCCAACCTTCTGGCCCTTTAAATACAGTTCCTCATGTGGTGACCCCCAACCATAACATTATTTTCGTTGCTACTTCATCACTGTCATGTGGCTACTGTGATGAATCGTCATGTAAATATCTGATATGCAGGATGGTCTTAGGCGACCCCTGTGAAAGGGCCGTGCGACCGCCAAAGGGGTCGCGACCCACAGGTTGAGAACCGCTGGGTTAGAGGCTCTGTGTCAGGCACACAGAACACTGTGGTTAACGATGGAAAAAACAAGAGCCAACCTCAACGGCGACTCGCTAGTATGTGGCGCCCGCAGTGCCTGCTTTGGCTCCCCGCTCTCCACAAGGAGCTGGTGTAGCTCAGTGGGCAGAGCACCAGTCCGAGGACTGAAGGGCCCTGGGTTCAATTCTGATCAAGGGCACGAACCTGGGCTGCAGGCTCGATCCCCGGTCCCCAGTTGTGGCTCGTGTGGGGGGCAACCAATAGATGTGTCTCTCACACGGATGTTTCTCTCTCTGTCTCTCCCCCTCTCTTCCACTCTCTCTAAAAATTAATGGAAAAATACCGCCAGGTGAGGACTAACCAAAAAACCCCAAAACCAAAAGGACCAAAAATGAAGGTTTAGTCTTTCGGGGGCACTTGCTTGATTAGTTTCCACGGAGACAAGATCCGCACTCAATCTAAGACCATTGAAATGAAATGAGGAGCCCCATTTAGCTTCCCAGGACGTGCTTGCACGGAACCTGCACAAAGCCCGGAAAGACACGGGTAAGCACGCGGCCATCGGGGAGGAAATACCTAAGGAAGACTTCCTTCCGAAGAAACTCTTCTAATCGGGGTCCGCTCCTTCCCAGGGGGTCGTCGGGAACCATGAATATGTCCCCCACGAAGGTGTACTGGAGCAGCCTGCAACAGAGGGCGAGGGGGCGTGGAGGGCGTGAGAGCGCCGGGGCCGCGGCTGAGAAAGGCCCCCCAAAGTCCTAGCGCTGCTCAAGGCCGAGGCACCCCGTCCCACACGTTAGCTCCTCCCCCGGATCCCAGTGGAGCGGAGCCAGCAGCTCTCAGCAGCTCCCCCTTCTTGCCGAGACCCCGGTGTCTGTCTGAGCCCGGCGGCAGCTGCGCCCAGCGGGCTCACTTTCAACATCCCCCCCAAGGCCAGACGCCCAGACTCGCCTAGGACACGGCGGGGGCCCGACGAAGGTTTACATTCTAGTGGATGTGGGGGATCCCCAGGTCCTCAATCAAACCACAGCCCAGAGTGGAGACAGGAGCAGTGGCGAGGGCTGCAGGGCTAACACATTCCTGGATGCGCTCGGGGCTGCTCGCCTGCGGGGCTTCCCGGGCTGCCGCCCACGGCCACGGGGCAGGAAACAGCTCTTCCTATGTGCCCCTGCCCGGGGGCCCCGCCCCGCCCTCACCAGTGCGCACCCTCCACACCACGCAGGTCTCTCTTCCCCCAAACGTGGGAGCCCAGGGCTGCGCGCTCTTCTCCCCCTGGCCCTGCGGCTGGCGGCTCAGACTCCTCGCCCAGGATCCGGCCCTCTCTGGGGGGCTTATGGCCTAATAAACCCTTTCTCCCCGAGATTTCAGCTGTGAAAGCTGTTGTCCACTGGCAAACCACTGAAGACACCTTTAAAAAGGAAGCCGTGAGCCCTGGCTGGTGTGGGTCAGTGGATAGAGCATCGACCTGGGGACCGAAGGGACCCAGGTTCGATTCTGACCAAGGGCACATCCCCAGTAGGGGGCGTGCAGGAGGCGGCCGATCAATGATTCTCTCTCATCGTTGATGCTTCTATCTCCTTCTCCCACTCCCTTCCTCTCTGAAATCAATACAAATATATTTTTTTTAAAAAAAGAATGACATGGTACTTGAAGAAGTGAAAGCAGAGGTTAGTTGTTCAATTTATCAACTTTTGAGAAAACAAAAGTGCCAGCTGTTGGACGGGGTCCGGGCCTTGTTTTGTGTTTTTGACGTTGGACCCGGGCGCACACCTCTCAGTGCCTTCAGGCTGCCTGTGGACACGGACAGTGTCCGGGAAACGCCGATGCGGGCCCAGGGCCAGCGTCCGGCAGGGACTAGCCCCAGATCAGTGGCTCGTGAACTGTGCCCAGAGGTCAAAGCCCAGCTCCCAGTTCGGCTATCGACAGCTTTTTAACAACACACGGGCCACAGGCACGGGGTCACTCGCTGTCACCTGGGCCTCGGCAGCGACAGGCCACTTCCCTGTGACCCCTAACGGCTCAGCAACGGACACACATCCGCCGTGGGAGCTGGGAGCCCACCGAGGCGCCACCTAGTGGGGCAGCGTGGGCAGCTGTGTGGATACCAGTCCGCTCCTTTAGGTAACTGGTCAAGTAGCTGTCGGATGGCGCTCTGTCCTGGGTGTCTGTGTGTGTTTGGGGGACCCCCAATCTGGTAGGACTGAACCTTGAACCTGGGAGCCGAGCCACCTCCAGGTAGACAGCATCAAAACTGAGTTGAATTCTGCCCGGCTGGTGTGGCTCAGTGGTTGAGCGTCGACCTATGAACCAGGAGGTCATGATTTGATTCCCAGTCTGAGCACATGCCTGGATTGCGGGCTCCATCCCCAGGGTGGGGCGTGCAGGAGGCAGCCAAGCGATGATTCTCTCTCTCATCATTGATGTTTCTAGCTCTCATCCTTTCCCTTCCTCTCTGAAGTCAATAAAAATCCTATATAATAAAAGGCTAATATGCAAATAGACTGAACAGCGGAACAACTGATGTGCGCTGACCACCAGGGGGTGAGCGCAGACCATGGCGGGCAGGCATTGGCTGCACTGGGGTGGTGGAGCAGATGAGCAGTGGCGCCAGACCAAGGCAGGGCGCCAGTCGCTGTCATCGGGGCGAGCCTCTGGTGGTTACAGAAAATTCTTTGCTCCCTCAAGCTGCAGTCCCGCCTGGTGCCCACACCTGCAGCCGGCGCCAGAGCCACCGCTCACACCCGCTGCCAGTGCCCAGCGCCGGTCCCTATCGCTCTGCGCCATCAGAGGGTGCGCATGGAGGCTTCCAGCCCTGATCGCCCCGAGGGCTTCTCCACCTCCCCCTGCTCCTGAGGGGTGATCGGGGCAGCAGTCACTGCACGCACCCGCTGCTGGCACCGGCCCCAATCGCTCCGAACCGTCAGCGGGTGTAAGCGCGGCCAGTGCTGTCAGTGCGTGGGAGCGGCAGCAGGAGTGGGGCTGCAGGCAGACAGAGGACCTCGGGCCATGGCGGGGGGTGGGGGGGGCCGGGCAAGGGCACAGAGTATGGGGCTGAGACCCACCCTGTGCCGACTGCTGCCCACAGTTTCTTTCAAGGTGCATGAATTAGTGCACTGGGCCCCTAGTATATTTGTAAAAAAGAAAGAATTGAGTTGAATTCCTAGACACCATGATGGTGGCTGAGAATTGTTTGTTGAAGTGGGGGAACCCCACCCATCTCCCATGATTTGGAATTGGATTCGGGAACCCAATTTACCAGCAACGTTTGTTTCATGGCTAACGTGTGAGGCCGGTGACCTGCAGCAGGCCCCTGGGCATCGGGGGGAGCCAGGAGGAGGCACTCTGCCACATCCCACAGCTAACAGTAGCGGCGCCCAGATATGCCCTTGCCTGCAGGGAACTCTGGGCTGAGTGGTGCCTGTGGGCACACAGCCCCCCTTCACCGTCTGGGCGCACAGTCCTAGGACGTGGCTCCCTGTCTCACTCTCTGCAGGGCAAGGTGAGCACAAACAAACAGAAACAGAACCGAAGGACGAGCCACAGCACGTGTGGCCGAGGGAGGACAGGGAGGGACGTTACCTCTTTGTAATAATTTCTCTCCAGGACACCGACTCGGTCACAAATTCTCTGAAGTTGTCATTCGTTACGATGATGCCACCGGTTTTGTCCGCTAAGTGTAGCAGGAACCTGTGGTAACAGGACAGAGGTTAAGAGGGCAGGCGGCCCCCGGCCCCCCGGCCCCCCGGGCTGTGCAGTCAGACACAGGGCTTCCTCCCTCTTCAGAGGAAACCCCAGGACACGGCTGAGGCCGGGGACAGAGAGGCCTCGCCCTGCCAGCTGAGGGCCCAGGAGACGCTGAGTACCTCTGAGGTGCCTAGTAGATTGGAAAGGGGCCTGGTTCTCACACAACCTGACTCTCTTTTTGAAAATGGTCTCAGCCACATTCACACCCACAGTCACACGTGCTGCAGAGAACCGCCCGGTCAGCGGGGGCGGCAGGGAGCCGAGGCGGGGCACCCAGGCCGGGCTGAGCCACCCGCGGATCCCTGTGGTTCTCGGCTGTGCACCGGGAGCTCTGGTGCCAAGACCAGCCGGTTGGCACAGGGTCACGTTCTGCTCTGACTTAGGAGCGATGTTCAGCCCTGGCCTGTGGCCAGGTGGCTGGGCGCCGTCCCGGGCACCAAAAGGGTTGCTAGTTCGAGTCCCAGTCAGGGCACAGGCCGGGGTTGCGGGCTCCATCCCCAGTGGGGGGCGTGCAGGAGGCAGCCAGTCCATGACTCTCTCATCATTGATGTTTCCCTCTCTCTCTCCCTCTCCCTTCCTCTCTCTGTACAAAGTCAATTTTAACCAGTTAACAGCCACGATATTTTGAATTTAATTTAAAAAGGTCCACCGCTTGCATCTAGAGACATTTAGGACATACAAATGGTTAAAAGAAAAAAGCAGCGATGTTCAGAACTGCCGCCGCCTCGCCCAAGTAGAGACTCACTCCACCCCCAGCTGCGGAGAGACAGGCGACGGGGAAGTGGGGGCGCCGGGCAGGCTGTTCCGTTGCTGGAGATGCTCAGGTCCCACTCTTATGTGAGGTGGAGAGGATGGTGGGTTACCCCCCAGGCAGGTCACCACACAGACACAGGCTCGGGCATCGCGGTGCAGGTCACGGCCCAACAGCCAGGAGAGAGCGTGAGACAAGAACACGCGCTTTCAGCAGCACCAGCACCCGCACCCGCACCAGCACCCCCTCCAACGCGGCTTTCCTGCCGGATCCGCCAGCTTTTGTTTAAAAAGACCTGGGTGCCACGCTGCTTCTCTGCGGGCACGCTGGGGAGGCAGCCAATCAGGAGGCGGCCAATGGATGCGTCTCTCTCGCATCCATATTTCTCCCTCTCCCCTCCTCCCTTTCCAAATCAATGGAAAAACTGTAACAACAAAGAATGAGGGCCCAGGGCGGAGAAGTGTTCCTTAGAGCAGGCCCGCCCACCCCCAGGCGCATCCAGCAAGCAGGGCACCTCCTACCTGTCGTCGTGGGACGCGATCCGCTCCCCGAAGACCATGCGGGCGGGGGTCAGGGACAGGATGCCCAGCTCCTGCAGCTGCGTCAGGAAGTGCTGCTCTGTTCGGGAGGGAGTGGGGCACAGTCAGCAGGGCCCCCCCCCAAGTTTCCATAGCAACCGTACCCCCAAGCTGGCGCTGGCGGAGCCGCGGGAAACCTTGTTCTCTCCTGACTCAGGGACACTCGGTTGTGCTGACTCACGGGAAGAAAACAAACAGCCAGCGAGGCACAGACGAAGGCAAATGCAACGTGGAGCCTGACTTTAGCAATTTTTGAGCATAAAGAAGTTCAGCTCGTTTGCTGCTTAAACGAACAGGAGTAACCCACAAGCCTGTGTGTGAGGAGCCCTACCACCCAGGACTCTGCGGCCGCGTTACCCGCAGCAGAGCACAGAGAGCGAGGGCCACGGCCCCCGGGGAGAGGGGAGGGGACCCCAGAGCGCTGCTCCCTGTCTCCCTCTGGGGCACCCGCCTCAGCCTCTGGCCGTCGGTGCGAATGCTCACTGACCGTCACGGGCGTGGGGACTCAGGAGGACGGAGAGCCGCCCACACTGTAAAAAACCAGTGACGGGGAAGAGGCCCAGAGCTCCGGCCTGGGGTCCCCACACCTGTTGGAACGCCGTCACCGTGCACAGCCTTCAAGACTCCTCCAGGGTCGCGGCCATGCACCAGGAGGTCACGGTCCTTTCCCGGTCAGGGCACAGGCTCAGGGTATGGACCGATCCCCAGAGCGGGGCGTGCGGGAGGCAGCCGATCAATGATTCTCTCTCATCACTGATGTTTCTCTCTCTCTCCTTCTCTCTGAAATCAATAAAAATAGATTTTTAATAAAGAGAGGCTGGAAATTAAAAGAAAAGAAGACTCTCCAGGGAACCAGCGCAAAAATAGCTATAAAATGGGCGGCTTCGCTGTTCCCCAGACCCTTCTCTCAGGTCAAACGCGCCCCAAGTGACAGAGCTGGGACTTACCGCCCCACCTGACAATGGCTAAGCCTGACTTCCTGCCTGATGTCTGGGCACCTCACGCCCCCGCCCTAACCCCCGCCCCGTCTGTTTCTAGGTGCTCAGGGGTCCGCGGGAAGCTGCCCGAGTCAGCCCTTCCCGGCTCCTCCCACGACGGCCTTCAGTTTCTCTGGGATATTTCAGGATTATAAGTTCAAGCCTGGGTGCGGGCCTGCAGGGCATGTGGTCACAGAAATGTGCATTCGCTCCAGGCAGACCATTAAAAGGCCACTCTGCCCCGGCCAGTGTGCTGCTGGCTGGGCGGGGTCCCGTCCCACGCACCCATCCCTCCCCGGTCCGGGCCGCGCCCAGGCTGCGGGCTCCCTGGTCAGGGCGCGTGCAGGAGGCTCACATCCATGTCTCACTCTCTTCCTCTCTCTAAAAATCAATTTAAAAATCTTAAAAAATATATACATGCTATTTGAGGGCTCTAAATTGATCAAGTGACCACTTTCAAAAATAATATGTAAAGAGGCAGAAATCCAGCCTGATGAAAGAGAAACGGTCAAGTGTTTTTAAAAAAAAGACATTATCTAACCTCCGTCTACATAACGAACTCCAATGTGACTTCCCGAGAACGGGCGCCAGGCCCCCCCGCGCCTGCGGCCCTCTCTCCTGGCTTCTGCGCTGGGCAGCAGCCC